TATTAATAAATACATATTATATATTAATAAATATATTCATTGAAGAACTAGGAAGAAAAAGCTGCAACATCACCTGCTCTCTATAGGAAAACGTCAGTATATAAATATATTAATTGATTGATTTTAATTTTTCAGTTAAAATTCAGTTGAAAAAAAAAACCAAATCAGATGGTGATGATTTGAATTTGGTTTAATGGTGATGGTTTGAATTTGGCTCTAAAACTTTGCTGAAATTGGTAACTGAAACCATTACAAATTACAGTAATTTACACACCACAGATTATAAATTAATTATAATTTACACACCGCTGAGGAATCCCCACCTGAAGCTTTCTTGACTGACAGAACAAAAAGGAATTTTGAATTCAGGTTCCTTATAAATCGTGGTCAAGGAGGATATTTCTGAATCATGTGACAGTAAATGTGACATTAATGTGGGGGATTGCTGGGCTGGATGAGTTGTTTGCCATTCTCATGGTTCTTCTCTTCTCTTGCCCAGGGGCACTGCAGTGACTTGCTGATATTTCAGACTCAGCCTTATTCCCTGCTCAGGTGAGCTGCAGTTACAGAATCCCAGCCTGGTTTGGGCTGAAATCCCACCGTGTGAAATCCCATCCCAACACCCTGCCCAGGTGTTGTTTCTGCACCTGCTCCTGCAGCAATGGGCTGAAATTCCCAATTTCCTCCTCAGGAAATACCTGAGCCCTGCACAGCAGCTGAACCACTGGTGCTGTGTAATTGCTGCACCTGTGATTAATGCACATCAGCTGGTTTAGGTGTCATTTGTTAGAATATAAATCATTTCCTTCAATTTTTTTTATTATTTCTTTTCTTCAGGCTGTGTCTGGACTGCATCGGGAAGAACGCCGCTCTCTTGGAGAAGCAAATTCCCTGTTTGCCACCCAAACTGGTGCAGGAAGTGCTGAAAAAAATCACATTTTGGGCAGCCATGAGCCACAGGCAGGAGAGGAAAGCTGAGACTGAGAGGCAGAGCCAACTGCAGAGCACCTGAGGCAGGGCTGGGAGCTGGATTCCTGAGGGAAACTTGACATAAATCCTTTCCTTGGGGATCTCTCGTTTCCTGCATTATGGAAAACTGATCCAGCTCCATTTCTAGATAATTGTTCACCTCTGCCCTGGTGGGTTTGGCCACACAGCCCTCTCAAGCTTTTGTTCTTTTGGAAGGGGACATTTTGTTCTTTTGGAAGGATCCATTGCAGCTGGATAAAACACGGTTTGAGTTTAAAAACCCCTCCTTGGCCTTAACCCCCAAAAAGATAACTTCACCTCGGTGTCTTGGGGATGTTCACACTTTTTCAGTCTTAAAAGGTAACAAATTTACCACCCTCAAATGTTGGTTCCACCAGGCTCTGACCCAAATCCAACCCTGGAGCCTCACACCTCACACTGCAAATAGGAAAAATCCATCTGGGAATTGTGGAACTTGGAAGAAAAAGCTGCCACAGCACCCGGTCTCTATCAGAAAACTTCAGTTCATCACCTGGTTTTACTGTTTCTGTCATCAGGAAATCCTTTTGGAAATAAGTTGTATATTGTATTTTGGATGTGCAAAGTTTATATTTCATTCTTGTTAAAAAAAAAACAGCAACAACAAAGTTGTTTATTTATTGTTTAAAAAAAAAAAGGCAAATGTAGTACTGGTTATTTTTCTGTTTCAAATATTTACTTAACAGGAGCACAGTCATTAAAATTTTATAGAGAGTTGAAGCAAGAGGCATTTGGACACATTTTTGATGGTTTTAAAATCCCCAGGTGCCCCCAGGTTCATTTTGTTGGCTTCAAGTGCCCCCAGGTTAACTCTGGGAGGGCTGAGCTGCCCCCCGTGATTAATTTGGGGGTTTCAGATGCCCCCAGTGGGGATTTTATTGGGTTCAGATGCCCCAATTGTGAATTTACAAGGTTCAAGTGCCCCTGAGGGTAATTTTGGGGTGCTTCTGATGCCCCAGGGTAAATTTTTGG